TCAAATAAGTCTTCGCGGGTAACAAATCTGCTGCTGACCAAGGCCTGTCCTTTATCAGCAGGAGCTCCTTCAATTGACTGATAGATTTCTGGCTTCTTGTGCTGTCTTTCAACGTCCACATCTTCCTGAAGGACGACTCATTTTGCAGCGAACGGCAGATTCAGATGCGTTACATCACAAGTTCTTTTATTGACTCAGATGTGTTTAAATCCAGACAACTGCACAGAACAAACAAACAAACCCATAAACTCACCTGGTTTGGGATTTGAAAGTATTTTGTGTATATCAAGTGGGCAGCTTCTTTCACAAATGCTCCGTTCAATAAAGCTCCGAATACCTTGAGATGACACAAGATCAAATCCCATTAGAGTGTGTGTGTAGCTACACCCACAGTGGTGCTCATTTGTCATTATATTTACTTATAGACTGTGTCGTGTGCAATTTTTGTTAATTGTAATAAACGTTTTTTTTTTAAAAAAGGCAAAGATTTGTAGTGAATTCATTTGTCCATCTCTGTTGTGTGCTCATTCATTCAGTGATTTGCTGGTTTTACTGACGCCACAAGCAAAATCTTGCTTAGATCAACCAACATCCTAGAGCCAGCCCTGATCTGGGTGTAGTTTAGAGTTGGAGACGAGCAGAAGGTTCATCTTATTTGAGAAAACTACTGAAATGAATGTTGTGTGTTATTTTAATAACGCAATGTAGCAAGTCCTGCAGAATGACTGTATCGTATTGTATGTGAGTTATTTCGATCCCCACGTCTGCCCACGTGAGCAGGATAAAATACACCTGCTCCAGAGTTTCCAAATGTTAGTGGACTACATGGATTGAAATCTGATAATAATAGATTCAATACACCGAGTTTGTGACGGCGTTTGACAGGCACTCCATTCCAGTATGCATCACATCAAATGGTTCAGTCACTATGTTAGAACCTCAACACATTTAGACGGTGCTCGGTCCTAGTGAGGCTGAATGAAATTCATCCTCCCATCCATTATCTATACACCACCTAATCCTCATTAGGGTTGCGGGGGGGCTGGACTCTATCCCAGCTGACTCAGGGTGAAGACAGGGGACACCCTGGACAGGTCACCAGTCTATCGCAGGGCCACACTGAGAGACAGACAACCAAGCACACTCACATTCACATCTACGGACAATTTAGAATCACCAATTAACCTCAACATGTTTTTGGACTGTGTGGGAGGAAGCAAGAGAACCCGCACGGGGAGAACATGCAAACTCCACGCAGAACCGGCGACCTTCTTGCTGCGAGACAACAGTGCTACCAACTGCACCACCTTGCAGCCCAATGATAAACATATTATTACAAATTTTTCAGCTGTGATGCGAGTCATGATTTCAGTGGGAATGGTCATTTGTGAGTTTCTTTTCCACTAAAACAAAACTAAACATGGCCTGGATCAAATGTTCCCTTATGTCTCATGATTATTTTTTGTGGGCCGGGTCATCTCTGTAGCACCACAGTGCCTCATTTATAATAGTAGATGTAGAAACATTTTAGAGTCATCAAAAAAAATTGCAATGATTCGGATATTGCACTTGGGATTTAGTCATTTTGATTATTTGTTCAGCTCTTGGTCCTGGTACTGCTTAAGTTGGCTCACTATCACACTGTCAAGGTCTACTGGGACACTTGATTAGCACCGAGGTTTCCAAGCTATGACAAATCAAAACATCTGCTGTGAAAAAATGACTACTGTTTGTTATACTGTACTTGATTTCAACCTAGCAGAGGCCACACACATTAGAACAAAAACAAAAAAAAAGGGTCCACAAATACACCACAAAATTGTCCAAACATATATAACAAGCAGACAAAAAATGTTCCCACAAAAGTCGCTTTAATTGATTGTTAAAAATAAGTAAGGCTAGAGATGCTGTAGAAGTACAAGATGGTGTGTGTACTGCAAACCTGGAAGAAATGGAGCCCCTGCCAAGTTAATGAAAAGCATGTGCAGATGAGAGGGATGATAGAGACGTGCGGCAGAGGAGAAGGTTTCCTCTGTCGTGCTGTGATGGGATGAAGCTGCCCAGTCACTGCCTGGAGTTCAGTTTGACTTTATTTCCCACGCTGGATAAGATAACTGATTATGTGTGTGGACAGGCTGCAGGGCCTCCACTTTAAAAAAAAACACACTCACTGCTCTCCCCTCAGAGACACGGTGCATAGCTGAGCAAAGTTACCCTCTGCAAAACAAATTCATCATTCCAACAGCAGCAACTGTTGTCAAAACAATAAACCCAAGCCGTGTTCAGGTTTCATACATATATAATCATATATATTCATATTCATGTACAAAGATACATTCTGAATTGCAAAGGCTCAATCATTGTAAATAAATACTGAAATGGCTAAACTGCAATAATATTCTCTTCTCTCCTGGAGAGAAAAGACGCACGCACACACACACACACACACACACGCACGCACACACTCGCATGATGAGGACACACATCCTCTGATACTGTTCAATACAAAGAGGACAAAACCAAACACATGAGTGCAGTGTACTGGAACACAGAGGCCAGAAATACAGTCTCAGTTACACCCAGAAGAACATCTGATGCACTGAACTCAGAGAGGACAGTCTAAAGACGGACATTAAAGTTCATAAAAATAGACGTAAAACATTTTCTCAATTTATCGCTTTAAAATCAGGAGGGGGGATATCTCAAATAATCATCGTAGTCTGGTACAAAGGGGGCAGAGGAGCGCTGCGAAACCAAACAAGTCGGTGTTCGAGTTTTGACCTCTAAATGTCAAGATAAGGATTAGAGAGGGAGGGGGATGTAATCCTCGGCTCGGCTGCTTCTTCTCTCCTCTCATAGTAACAGGTCCAGCACATTCTCTGTTCTCACACCCTGAAAATATTTCAATTTCCAAATATGAAAGTCTAAAAATATATCTTATCTATACACTAGGATTTCTGTTACAAAAACGCTGCACGTTATCTACATGGAGGCAGACTGGAACACGCTGCTGCAAGGTGCCATGTCAGACGAGACACTTATTACTGTGTCAGCATGTGGCGAACTATCGATCTAGAATTCTTTAACCTTTGGTAGCAAATGGAACATTCTTTTCAGAAAAAATAAATACTCTGTCACGCTTGGAAAGCCTGTCACTCTCTCCTCTCAGACCTTCACACCTAAGGCATGTCTTAAAAGTGGCGACTGAGCGGAGCTGGTGGGTACATGGAGAGCAGAGGAGCCACAACATCCTCAATCGTGGATTAAACACAGGTCTATAAACCAAAAGGGAAGAAGGAGGGAGGGCTGGATAGAGCTGCTGCTGCTTTTCTTTTCATAATTAATGGTTTTGTAAATGGAGCTTTGTCAGTTACTGAATTAAAAAGGTGCGAGCGACAGTGCCTCTATAGCAGTTTGTGCCTCTTGTGCATTACCATTACATTCAAGTTACAGAGCAAAGCATGTGATGCTTTCATGCTAGCAGCTCTGTGATGCTCAGTGATGAAGCCAAACCATTTTTATAGGGATGTCTAGACTGAGACCATGACTCACAAAGAAGCAGATGTCTTATTAATTCTGCATAGCAAATCACTGTCAACCACAGAGCTAATTATTTTGGTCATTTACTTTTATAATTTCCTTATGCAGACATGACTACCATGTAGAGATACATCATGATGACTCATAATATACTAAAAGTTTTTTTGTAACTCGAAGGAGTTGTTTCAGTTCTGCTTTATTTAAAACAAAGGTTATCACGTAAATTACACTAAGGATTAAGATCAGAATGATAACGCTGATGTTTAGCAGGTAGGATGTTCACCATAAGTTAGCATGCTTACTTTGGCTAATTAGCGCTAAACACAAAGTAAAGCTGAACTTGATGGCAATAAAATTAGCAACACAGGTATATGGTAATAAAGCAATATACGTCTTTCTGATTAAACTCCTCCTTCACAGCAAGAGTTGTTGAGATATTTTAACAAAGAACTAAAATCCACCCACTGTGGATCATGAAAACTTTGTGCCAAGTAGATATTTTATAGGATAGGCGAAATCTCTGACCTATTGGTGGCGCTAAAGGAAAGGTCAGGATTCTTTTTCTGGGGTCTAAGAGCATCTCCAGATTGTCATGGCAATCCATCCAGCAAGTGTATTTCTGAAGAGTCTCTGAACCAACTTGATCAAACAATATTCCACCTGCTCCAAGATAAAAGAAAAATAACCTCTTTTTTTTCAACTGTATTTGATGATGTAGGCAGTGGTTATGTATGAAATATAGCTTTTTGTTCTTTAGGAAAAACTGGATTCAAAATCTTACTTTTCATGCAGTGGACAGAAGATAATTTTAGGATGGATTCTGGAGGTACTTTCAGAAAAGTGATTTGTTGGGCGTTCTACTTTTAGCAAAAATTGTGTGAGCAGATCTGTGACTTGAATGGAACGGTAATAAACGAGGCACAAGCGGCGCTACTAATCCTACATCCTGAATATTTAGAGAAACTGTCTGCTAGAAAAAATACTAACCAGATGAATATGTGACTTATTGCATTTGACCCAAAGACAACTGGAGATTGATTACATTTCTTGTCTTTTCAGAAGCAAAGTTTTCAAAGGATGAAAAAACAAAAATCAACACGAAATACAATCTGAAATTGATCAAGCTTCCCGCATGATTGGCTCCCACACACGACTGCCCGTCTTATATTACTAAAGGGCAACAACTGATTTAGCATCAACCGAGCCCAGCATGAGCGCACAGTAACTGGATTGAGTGGAGGGAACCTGGAAAATGTCAGGAGGAAAATTACACGTATTTGCTGAGCAAATATAACAAACGCAAAGTAAAGGCTCTGTACTCATTGACATCGCACCTCAAATAATATTAAAAGAGAAGGAGGCAATATAACAGATTGTAATTCAAATCCATAAAATAAAAAAAGAAAAAAACAAACAAAAAAGAAGACAAGTAATAATAAAACATGCATCCAAGTTATCAGTGAGAAAAAAAGCTCTCAGAGCAGTTTTTGCTTGTTTCACTCTTATTGTTCTGAACTGAGGAAGAAAACAAAGTGCTGATTAAACCGGTGCCTGCAGAGGGGAGTCGCCCACCTCAACTCTTCCTCTGTGGCATTAGTTTGGGAGAAAAAGGCAAAACAGGCCTCAGAGTTCAGTCTTCAGTGCCCAGGACCTGCCACACAATGAGGTGGCTGCGCTCAGCTTTAGCCAGGAAGGGCTGCAGTTTCATGGGGGGCCCGTCTGCCTCCTCGGCCTCGCCATCCTCATCACCTGCAAACACACACACACACAGACATCATGTTCTCCTCTACACCTGCTGCACTGATTAATGTTCTGACTGCATCCGTGTCAGGTAGCTGACTCACCCATTCTAAAGTCAATGTAGCCTTCTCCTCCGCTCATCACCAGCATGGACTTGTTTCCTTCCTGAGTTGTGGCATCTGTCGCCTTGTCACCTGCTGCCTCTCCTCCGCAGGATGCAGATGGAACTGCATGACCTGAAAGCACAGACACATAAACTGTAAATAACACCAAAGCACTCCAGATTGTGTCTGCTCATGCAATGATTTTACAATTAGGACATTCAGACCTTGTTAGTTATCAGTTTACTGTATTTTAATGAGCTCTCAGCTTTCTGACTCACTTTTTATTCAGCTGCTTTCAATATGAAAATTAGAAAGCCATTAGCACAAAGTATACTACATTTTACATAGCCGGGCTGCACAATATGATGTTTTAGCATCGACTACTGTGATGTACGGTAAAGTCATATCACAGGAAGTGTACTGTGAAGAAAGGCAAACTAACTCTAACACACCATGGCACAACTGTTTTTGTTGCTTGATACAAAAAAAAAACTCCCATGGTTCTCTTTTTTCACAAGTAAACTTCTATAAAAGTCTGTCTAAAAGGAGGCTCTAGGATTCACTCCTTTCTTCATTTAAAAGACACCAAGTCTGTTGACATGCAGGCTCTACATGTGCACAGCAAAATGACTGAGGAACAAGAGAGACACTCTGAAAAGCAAGACTTGGTTTCAAAAACAGAAATGCAGCATCAACTGCAGCATTACACAATTATTGGAATATTACTCACTGTAATGAGTTTGGTGTCTCACGATTAAATGCACATGACTGACTGACATGATAATGATGTTAAAATGCTCCACTCAAAGAAAACAGTCCACATAGATAGAAGGCTAATCTGACATTAGAACATCATCATTTTTTACTCTTTTTTTAAACAAATTTCTGGATAAATCAACTTAAAACTCCTGTCATCTAAGCTTGGCAATAATGTCTTCAACAGAGGACTTTTAGTCTCAAGAGTAAAGTTTCATTCCTGTGTGAGGCCAAATGGCAAGTTTGACTTTAGCCTTAACCATTTCTAGCACATTTAAAGGTCCCTTATACCGCTCATGTCTCATGGGAGGAGCTGCATGAGGAGGACTGTATTTTCAGATTCGAGGGTTTCTTTTGCCTTTTCCAGTTTTCTACTTACCTGGAACAGCTGTGAAGAACTTGACAGCATCCCGGTGACCATGGAAACAGAGCTGAGCGTGAGCCATGGAGCAGTAGGGAACGAACGTCCCGGCTGTCACTTTGTCACCGCTGTCGTCCCCGTAGACACGAACTACTCCTCCGGGATGGTTACCTCCTGTCTTGGTCGCCTTGTTGGCTGCTTATGGAGCAGTGGAAGTGTATGAGAGAGACACCTCAAATACTCAGTCTGTTAAACACACCCTCAAAACAATGTTGATGATGCAGTTAAATTACAAATCGGTCTTACTAAAGGATTCTATTCTGAGTGTATATGATTGTTAAATTAGAGTTTGCCTTTAAAAACAATCCATCTGAACTGAACTGAAACCACACTACTTCAGCACTGTTAGCTAAATTATGAATAAAGAAGCTGTATAGATGCTGAGGCTCACCTACAGTTTTCCTCCAAAGGTTAAAAACACATTACAGAAGAAGCTGTAGTTCTTGAACTTACTCTCTGTCAGAGGGATGGAGATGATGACTCCGTTACCAGTCCCGATCCACAGACGACTGCATGACACCATGAGAGCTGTGATCCTCACAAAGGAGAAGCCCAGTTTGCCCGTACCTGGAGGACAGCATGTAAAACCACATCTGAGCTGATGAACAACACAAGTCTGTCAAACCCTGAAGAGGAATTTCAAAATAGACTTCTTCTGGGTAGAGAACAGATAATTGTGGTTGCACTTGTCAACAGTGAACTGACCGAGCATCTTGCTGACGTAGGGCTCGATGTCGACGTCCTGGAGGTGCTGGTAGGTGTGAGCGTGGAACAGCCTCAGAGTGGAGTCCAGTCTGATGGACACCCAGATACCGTCACCATCCCAGGCCAGCTGACGTACCTGACTGTCCTTACGAGGGTGGGCATCGAATGATTTCTGCACAGAACAGAGACACAATCAGTTTAGGAAAAGCAGAGAAAAGATTTGTAACTTTATGCAGCTCAATGAAAACATAACCAACTACTATCAATACATGACTAGGGATTAAATCTTATTGTACCTCTATCTTCATGGCTTTGGGCTGCACCACATAGATCTTGTTCCTGTAGCCACACCACACCTTGTCATGCACTACAGTCATGCAGCGGACAGAGTGGTGAGGCCTACCCAAGTCCAACAGATGGTAGTTGGTCAGGTCCCACTGTCCATCTTAAACAAAACAGTAAAGATACTGAGTGAACAGACAGATTGATGAATCCCACATCACTCTGTACTGTGTATACATTGTAAAGAAGGAACTGGTAAAGTCTGGGTCCTCTCACCTACTCCTCTGTGGAAAATGGCTAATGTGCCATCAGAAAGACCGACCAGAACTCGCCCTTTTACATGTCTGTGGGAGAAAATGAGCGAGAATCAAAAAATGAGCAAATGAGAGTAAAGTGAAGACCAACGGCTGCAGTTTGTTGAATGAACTTACACTATGCCGAGCACAGAGTCCTTCAGCTTTATAGAATGGAGACACTTCTTCCACTGAGCCACGGAGGAGTGGACGTACACACTGGAGTCACAGCAGGGGTACGGAATTAGCTAACAGCAGATTTCTGGTAATCCGGTTATATGCAGAAGTGTGCTAGGTGGAATAAACAATAAAACTCACCATCCGTTCTGCGCTCCCAGCCACATAGTGGGCAGAACACTGCTCATTTTCTGAGCCTCTTCTCTCATCAGGTCCTGCTCCTCTGCATTGGGGTTTGAACTCACACCATCTTTCAACAGATCACTCTCCCTGCTCATCAGAAACAACATAAATATCAGAGTTTGTGTGTCTTCGCATGTGCCAACTGTGAGGAGGCTGAACAATTAAAGCCAATTCATGCTTTCTCTATGTCCACAAGGGTCTGCACTGACTCCTTTGTGGACGCCCATGTGCAGCCCAAAATTTGCGCATGCACTGACTGTGCACTGCGAGCATGGCAGCTGTGACTATGGCAGAAAAACAAATGGAGCTCAAAACAGCACAACAAGGAGTTGTAATTTAAGAAATGGCAGCTGGGCTTTGTAAAATTGTAAATTTTTCTCATCAGTGGTGCCCAAACACACTTCTAAATTCTTTCGAAATCCCGTGCTATGTCCACTCATTGTGATTCTGACAGAAAGGCAATTAACTCTGGCAGAAAGCTATACGATAGCACTCAGCGCACCTCAGGAATAATCACACTGGCCTGGTGATACAGACCAGTCTGTAACCAGATGCTACATCCTGTAAAAAGTGCAAAGTCACAGCCTTTGAGAAACATCCGCAGGAGCTCATGTGTTTTTCTGTGTACAATGTGTGCAATGTCTGTTTGACCTGTACCTTATAGCATGTGTATGTATGTATGTATGTATGTATGTGTGTGTGTGTGTGTGTGTGTGTGTGTGTGTATATATATAATTTATTTATTGTAGCATGATTACATGCATGTATGTGTGGAAAGCCTGCATCAGTCAGCACAAAGGGATGCAGAAACCGCAAATTGGGCACACAGTGACACATACAATAGTTTCCATTTGCTGCTTTAGATCCAATAAAGTGGACTGTGTGGTGTCTGTACTGGTGCTATAGGCTGTGTTATGCATAGCTGTTATAAACAGTCGAAGAAGCTGGGAGCAAAACCAGACGTTATTGAGTATTAAATTCAATTCAGCTCAATTCAGTTTTATTTAAATAGCGCCAAATCACACCATATGTCATCTCCTTGCACTTCACATAGTAAGGTAAAAACCTTACGAATTTTAAACAGCAGCCCAATCCAAAGTTGCCTTTGAATTCCCTGTGAGCAAGCAGTTGGTGACGGTGGGAAGGAACAGGGAGGAAATTAAAAACCTCCGACAGAACCAGGCTCAGGGAAGGCTGTCTCGACCAGTTGGGGTGAGAGTGGAGGTAAGTGTGGAGTGTGCATTGGGCTGTACTCATAAAAATGCCACAAATAGTTGAATAATAAATGAACGGCTAGAAAGCTAAAAAAAAAAAGAGGAGGACAATGTCCGGCTCCTCTCTTACGTCTGCACAGCTGAGTAATCATGATTTGAAGTGAAGTACAAGCTATCTGACATCTAACATGCAGTTTAGACAAACCATGAATCCAGCTTTAGAGTAAATGTACTTAGTTATTCTCCACAACTGACCTGCAGTTTATACTCTCATTCTTTTCAGAGGTCCCATGCCTGACGTGACACAGATTTTTTTCAAGGGGAAAACACTCATAACTAATAAGTAATGTAGAAACAGAATCTGACTTGAAGGTTTAATGCACTGAAATAATGATTTACCAACAGTAAATGGTTTAACAGTGAATTGATCTTGTCTTATTGTTGTACTAATAAAACAGACCCTTTTTTTAAAGACAGACTGAAAGATAGCATCATTGTGTTGGGTAATGGGCCTCCTGATGTTACCTCTGAGAATAGTTGGCTGGCGTCTCTGCTGTCTGCTGGGCTCCTAGTGGATCAGTGAACACATGTTCGGTGTAGACTCCTCTCAGGCTTTCTCGTTGGTCTGCGAATCCTGCACTGGTCTCTGTTGCTTCTGTGGCTTCCTCTGCCGGTTTGGATTCTGTAAAGAAGACGATTGCTCAGTCAACAAATCACACATATATAGTTTTATTATATTTTTGTGTATGAGATCTATAGCATTATGCATTAAAATCAGAAGCTGATTATTAGTGACTCAGGCTCTTACCAGTTTCTCCGTCTTTTCCAGGATGGTCTGCTGTCTGAGGAACAGCTGTCGCTCCTTCAGCTTCACAGCCCACCACAGTGATGCCTCCAAGCACGCTGTCGCCACCTGCTGAGCTGCTATTGGCTGCTGAAGAGTTGCCATCTCCCACTGGTCCTGCATCAGAGTTTGGAGATACTTCTTCTCCAGCTGGGTAGTCAGTTTCTCTCGCACCTGCATCAAATTATTAGAAAAGTCACACTGTGCCTCATAATTGATGTGACTCCTCTGAGTGCCAACTGACTGCAAAACAAGTTATTTGCATATAAATGCCAGTCACATAATATTCCCTCTGTGTGATGCACATAAATCCATCCACTGACCCGGTACGCTAGCGATGCAGAGCACGTGGGAGTTACAAACAAAGAAGCTCTCCAGGATGTTTCCGGGCTGATTGGCGTCAATGACAACAGCTTTAGTGGTGGATTGTGTGCTGGTGCAAATCCACACCAGTGACGACATCTCATCCTGATGCCGCAGCTCCTTCTGCTGGTCCTGCAAGGACATTAACAGAGGATTTGAATTACTTATTTATTATTTATGTTGCTATTCATATCACTATGCATGCCTTCTGAATGAGCTGACAAAGATGCGTGTATACCTTGAGTTCTTGATCCAGTTTATCCAGGCTGCTCTGAGATCCGATCTTCTTTTTGGGGCTCTCTGGTCCTGGCACGTCGCTGTAAAACACACTGGCTCCCACTATTGAACCTCCGTCTCTGGTTTTACCTCCAGAGAGGTTCACACCGGCAGCACACCACAGCTGAAGGACAGACAAAAATTACAGCAGTCAGATATAACAAATGGGATGCTAATATCGTATCCAGATCAAAATACATCAGAAGTTTGCCAAAGATTTGTAACACAGTTGAAACACGTTTACGGTACCATATTTCGATGTAATGCATTTGGTAGAATTAGAGTGACATACTAATTTTCAGGTATATCTGGCCAACACTGAGCTGCCAGAGTTACAGTCAAAATGTAACCCATATAGGTCAAAAGACTAGCAATTTGAAAATCCAGGGTTTTTCCTGCATAGAGGAATTTTTTGAAGCTAAGGTTTAGCCAGCCTCAAAGGGAAATCACCAGCACCAAAATGATGAAAATGGAGAATTCTTTTTTTTTAACCACTTATGTTAATTGGGGTTTCATGTACTCAGCATTATAGATTTTATGGTATATCAAATGTTCAGAAATAACAGATTTCTGTCAAAGAAGGTAACAGATCTAAGTTCCATTACTGTATGCAGATTGCTTATTGTACTGCGTAGTTCCCCTGAACCCCCCAAAAGGCCCATTCTGAGCCAAGGAAAAACCTTAAAATATCTTTATTTCATGATGAGAATTAAATCTGTAAAGCTGGAGGACACACCTTCATAGAAGCATCCTTTTCATCCAATGGTCTGAGGAAGACAGGAACAGGTAGATTCTTCACCTTATTCTCTGGTTGACCACCATTAACCTGGAAAGTCAGAAACACACAGCACGGCTGCATCAAAGCTTATTTCTGCTGAAGCCTACACCACAGAGCAGTTTGACAACAAATACAACAACACCGTCAGTGCAGTTGCAAAGATTGTGGTGGTCATCTTCTTACTTTGAATTTCTTCGGCAAGCTCCAGCCGTATGCCTGCACCCTGCCGTCCTCCTTCTGGACGTGGGCTTTGACCTGCTGGTACTGAGCCCTCTTCTGTTCTCGCCTGGACACCACATTATCAGATGCCACTCTGTGGAACAAAACAGCAGCTTGTTGACAAAGATGTCTTTTTCCTCCCAAAACTGAGTGGATCCGTCTTCAACACTGAAAAAGTCCAAATTGCATTTTGCTGTCAACAACATTGTAAACATTCCTACAAGTCAAATCAGTTAAACACAAGCTCCCATTTGCCAAAAAGCTTGAGTGTAGAGCTGAAACCATTAGTTGATTATTCAATGTTTTCATGTCTTGAATCATTATTTTAGCAAAAATCCACTGGTACCAACCTCCTAAATGTGAAAATATGATGTGCTTTTTTCACATTTTTGAGTATTTTTTAGCAAAAAACTAAAATATTTATATTAATGCTTCTAAAACTGTTACAACCCAGTCAGGCAGCAAACGTGGGTGTCTGTATCATCATTTTCATAATTTCTCTGGTTTTACCGTTTCTGAAAATCTTGTCCCTGGAAGGAGTTTTTTTTTCATAGACCTGAAACTGAGGTTGCTTGAGAACAAAAGGTCAAAATGCACAGAACTGTCCGCCTGTGATGAAGGCCTTTATCAATAATAAAGATAATATTTAGTTGCAGTCCATCTTGAAATGAAAAATGAAAAATGTCAAACTGAAACTCAACTCTACATAGGTGGGCTGTTCTTGGTATTTGAGTCAATCCACCAACAGCAATCATAGCAAACACAGGTCACAGTATCTCTGCGGTTTCATGTAAATTTCCCCTGGCTGACTTACTCCTCATTGAGGAAGTCGAAGGCTTTGCTCTTGTCACTGGGCAGCTGCTGCAGGGTGCTGCTCTTCTTCTTGACGGTGGGCTGAATCTGAGAGGTGGGAGCGTTGTACTTGACGTTCACTGGCGCCTCCGCCGGCGGCTTCTTGGCTGCTCCACCCGACGAGCTAAACAAACGGCTGAAACTGGAGGTGTAAGGGCAGGGAAGTGGGAAGAAACAAGGGAGAGGAAAGAAAGCACACAGACAAACGTATAGAGGGGTGGACAAAAGCAGTAGCTCCAGCAGCAGAGGTAGGACTCCACATTTAAGGGTAAAAAGGTTCTTTTCCCCATGCCAACACGCCATGCCAGCTGCATACGGGTGGCGGCGACACTGACACACATATTCCCAGTAAGCTGTCAAGACCCAATGAATCCGTTTCCCAACCAGTAAAGCATCAGAGCAGCTGTCCACTCAGAATGCCAGAAAGCAGGGGGTGCAGGGTTAATACTGTACACCAACTCGGACGTTAGTCAACAACACAGAGCAGAACAGGCCTGACCAGAAAACACCTCTCCATAACTCTACAGTCAGCACATCATTATACATGAATGTTTCTAATGAATGCTTTATAGCAGATAATACATGTCTGTAACATTAAAATAAGAAATAAGTTTATCTTAATAGGTTTTGCTTTAGCTAACACACTCCACCCATTTTACTGCCTTCCCTCCCATCTCCATAGCAACCCTCCCAACACACCTCCTGCACACAGACATCACAACATCAGGCAGAATATAGAGGGACACACAAAAAACAGGGCAGAGATGATAGATTTATCAGATTATATGTCCCATATGGACACCTGCCCCAAATAAGGACGATCTTCAAACCAAACCAAAGTCATTCCTTATGAAACTTAACAAAGGAGAGCCTGGATGAATAGGAAAACAAATAATGTTCCAACATCAGTAGTTTCTGCAAAGCTTGATGTTTACAACTTTCACTAGTAAGGAACTAAAGACTGCTGTGACAGAGATCAGAGGCTTCCTCACTGGCTCTCCTCTGTTAAGAGTTTGTTATCCGGATGATAACATCAAAAGTCAGTCAAGATTTACCTACATCCTGGAGAAAACAACCACAACATGGAATACAAAAGAAACACAAAACACATAAATAGCACAGTAATGACGAGGTATTTGGCATCTAGGACTTCAAGTAAAATGAAAAGAGGAGCTTACAACTGCCAGAGACTGGATTTCTTCTTCTCTGGAAGAGCTGGGTTCTCCTTTGATGCCCTGAAATAAGAGAATGTCTCTTTGAATCAGTGCTTTCCATTTTAAGACAGCTCCTTCTGATTTTTTAGTCTACCTTTAATTTTCCCTTGGTGTACGTATATTGATGCTTGCTTGTCTCCAGAATAACACAGATACATGTTGCTGTTGCTGCTGTCTTACCGGATCATCTCTGTCCATCTGACAGCCTCCTGCAGCTCCATCAGCCTCTCCTTATACTGGTTCCTCTCCATCAGGACTCTGGCCATCTCCACCCTGGTGAAGCGCTTCCTCTGGGCTGTAGGTACATCACTCTGCAGCCATGACACAAGTATGAGACCAGTGAGCTGCTATTCAACACATTCTATTAAGGTTTACATGAAGAAGGCATGTCCTTGTGTAGAAATCTTGTCAAACATCTCAAGAATCTACTGAATATTGCTCCTAATATTATATGATATGGCACAAGGAGACACAACCAGCATGAAGGACTCACATCATCTTCATTGTCATTCTTGACCTTGTGTTTGGTATCCTCCAGTTCTGCTCGAACTCTGCAATAAGTACAAAACCAAGTCTTGTGCAGCAATGTCTGTACAGTGTATGTCAAGATGCAATTTACAGGCTGGTGTGAAGCTATGTTTGTATATTGTGTTTTGAAACCAACTCACTTCTTGAGTTCTTCTTCCAATTCTTTGTTCTTCTCCTCTAGTTTGGTCCTGGCCTGAGTGACAGCATCCAGCTCTCCTCGGAGAACCTCCTTCTCACATGACAGTTCGTCTACGCGTGCTATCAGGTCATTCTTCACCACATTCAAAGCATTTCTAAAAAAACAAACATAGAAACATACATTATGATGTGCTATCGTTATCAGACACAAGGTGGCAGCACTGTCATGTTTCTTCATAACAGAACAAGGTGGATATTTTTGTGTTCATGTATTTCGAAATTATGAGATAATTTTAGCTCATTCTTAATATTAATCATCCCAGCAACAGGGAAAAGAACAGAAAAAGCAGCACTTCTAGGAAATCTGTAGATGGAACCTCAATCAGAAACACTGCTTTAGTGTTGGTTCATATTAAACTGCCTATGCTAATTAACTGTGGCAACCAAACCCACAAAACAGAGTCTGACATTACTGTTAGTTTTTTAAAAATGTTTGTCTCTTTACCAACACAAAAGCAAAAAGATATGTTTTCAGTAGTTATAATGAATACGAACTTGGTCTCCAGCAGCTGGGTGTTCTCATGGATAAGATGTTCAACTTCCCGACCCATACCTGAAAGAGAATGTAAACTTATTATCTGATCTCATGTGAGAGAAAACTGCATAAATATAATTAAACAAAACAATATTGTAATTACATGATTATGAATTTCCATGTCTATCCTCTACGCTGGCATAACACTATCAGTCTTACCTAGAAAGTTGTAGTCTGAGGGTCATGCAAAGGGTGATCAGAGAGAGATTATAAGACTCTGGTGTTACGAGTTAAATGGTCTAACTTGAACATTTCTAGTCTATAACACTGTATCACTGCCCTTCAAGTACCACTATTCTAATGTACTCTGGACATCCATTAAAAAAAAACAACAACAAAAAAAAAAAACAGAGGGGATTGAAAATATACAATCAGGGTCACAAACAGCAAGGAACTACCTAGAAGACCTGGGAGGGATTTACTGATACACACCAGAAAACTCATCTGTAAAGACGATTAAGTCCGACAGCCAAAGAGGAGACAGTTCGGAGAATACGAGACAACAATAAAATCGTTTGTGAAAGCAAAGATGGTGGACACATAATAAGTCAGAGGTGAGTGAGGCTTCTTACCCAGCAGGTCTGCTCCTTCGTCCACGTCTCCTATGAGGTCGTTTCCTGCAGACGACAACTCCTCAAACAGAGATTCAGTGTTACGGTCGAACGCTAGATTCTCTATGCCGCCTTTAGCTGGTGTGCTGGATGGACGAGTGAGGCACAGGGAGGAAGCGTAAGACAAGCGAGAGACAGAGAGAGAAAGGGATGTTTATCATGATGAGAAAAACATCATGTAATATTGTGATCATAATATATATTTAACGATTTGAACACTTTCACGTACATTGATGCCAAGTGGAATCTAAGGTTGGCAATTATAATGCCAAATAAATAAATTAAGAGGAAATTGTAGCAGGTTGTGATGTTTGTTGTCAGGAAGTCCAATGAAAGATTTTTAAAAAATGAACAATTTCTCCTACCAACAAGTGAAGGGTTTATTTGCAAAAGCAGTTATCTCTACTATCAGTTGAACTGGTGTTTGGTTGTTTTAACAAGATACCGCAAATGTTTTAACTTTTCCTAAATGTTGCTTCTTATTGTGCAGTAAATGATAATCAATCAAATTAATGCTGTTTCATTCATTTAAGGTGGCTTTTATCATCTTCTGAAAAATACATGTTGAAGTATTTCTCCCTCCTCCGGGCCTTTGGGGTACATTTTATTAAAAAACTATCAAATACATTTGTGTCACACTGCTTCACTAGTTGACATGTTCCTTTAACACCATGTAAACACACTAGTTTATTCTGAGTCAATTCAACATTCAAAATTTTGTTGACAATCTTCACCGCAGTGCAAGTATGGATTAATGTGCAGCTAAAAACAGGCCCCAACAAATGCACTATTCATCCTGTTTGAATTCCCGTTGCTAAAAGCTGCAGTGCCCAGCAGCTTTAGGAAGTTACCAGACTCTTAGACAGTAAAACAACAGCTTTTGTGGTTGGGATAGTTCAGTCTTAATCCTAGAAATAGTAACTGATAAATGTCACTACAAGGATTTTTAAGTAGCTGTTGTGGAGCTTTTAGATGCATTATACAAGCCTCTTTGGCATCATCTTACCATATTTACTAAGTGTTTATATATTTACAGGTTTCTAATTTTATTTTGGGTGTCTATTAGAATGTTTTTACATGCTTTAATGGTGAAAAAACAACCAAAAAAGTCATACTGGACAATGCTGCAGCACCTTGTCTCACCCGCTGTCTGAAACGCTCCCTCCTGTCTCTTTAACGGCCCTCTCCCTAATAGCTCGGTTTGCTCCGACTGGTCAGCTAGCCAGACGAAAGTGAGGCAACACTAACCTCAGATCTATGCGTGTCGGAATGCAGCTCTAGCAGAAGCGGCTCTAGTGAGGAAACAATGGTGGATAATGGCAGGTGCTCATTCTTTGTTTGAGTGTGTCAAACCAGCTGCTGGGCAGTCATGATGTAAATGTGTGACATAGTGATGTAGATAAGGAACTGTGAAAAGTCAAGACCTTGAACAAGGAGTTTAAAGAATGCAAGGAGCAGCGCTTTCTGTGGGAGAGGAACTCTCTTTGGTGTGAACTTTTTACATGCAAAAACGTTATTTATAACCAAGTAAAGGTGAGTGAAATACACTGAAAAATAACATCATGAGGAACCAGTTACCTGGGGACTGAGTGCCTCAGACAGGACCGAGAAATCAGCAGGTACATGGAATAATGAGCATTTGGTTCAAGTCTTCTTTTGGTATTTGTTGACACTATGAAAACTCCTGAATATACTATTTTATTTTGTGACCATCTATTTTGATAATAAATTAATAATATAAGTAATTTTTTAAGCTCAAATGTCAACAATTCCATTTTCGTAGTTTCTAAAATGTTATACTTTCTATGCAGCTGTCTTTGCCATAATAAATACACAAAAATGAACATTTTGGGGTTTTTGGGCTGTTTTTGCACAAACTATTTGACAACATCTTCATGAGCTGTTGAAAGTATTTTTTCTGCCGTCACGGTTTACAGCTTATATGATAAATCAAAAATCTAATTTGCAGATTTTAAGGAGGTCTTTACCTTGTTCCTCTGCAGCCAGCGAGGTCCATGTCCAGTTCAGGAGTGGACTCTATGATCGCCTGCACCTCTGACTTCTCCAGGTTGTCTGTTCCATCTAGAACAACCAGCACACATTTAGTTTTGGCTTTTGTAAAACTGGAACATTCTATGATTCAAATTATATGGTGTCAACACTTAAAACTCAAACCCATGTTAGTTGACATTTAAATTTTAGTGTTTATACAACAGACACCGTGCTGAAACTTTGGTACTGACCGTCACTTTGGAGAGGTGTGGTAGCCAACTCCTGACCGTCTTGTCCAAGCTGCCCCTGCCCCTGCTGTCCTCCCTGCACTGCTGCAATGTTCTTACTGCTCTCAGGCTTTCCACTGTTCCGGTCCAGGTTCTTGTTGAGCCCGTCCTGCTCATGTGCAGGTATGTCCACGGACTCCATGGCAACATCAGTAGACAGCGATGTGGCAGAGGCAGACCCTCCTCCGAGACTGGACGTTGCACTCATGCCAGTGGACCCTCCATCATGAGGAGACAGTGGTGTGGAGGACTGGGAATTACCGCTGTGTGTAGACGTGGGCGTGTTTGATTTAGAGGTACCACCCTGAGAGGACATGGAAGCGTTGGATTTGGACCCTCCATCTTGTAGAGACGCAGGAGTTCCACTTTTAGAGACACTTCCCTGGTTGGTTGGTGTGCTGGACTTCGGGCTTCCACGGTTGAAATGAGACAATTCATCCTTAAGGCGGAGGGAGAGGAGGTGGAGGAGGAAGAAGAGAGAGTCAGGAGATACAGAAGAAAGCAAAAGACAAAACAGCCATCATCAGATAGTCAACTTCAATTTATATATATACATTTGTTAACTTTACTGGTGTGTGACTTCACTCATTTTCAGCTGTAAACTAGGTTACATGCAGCTCACTGTTGTGCAAACCAAACACAAACAAATAGCTAACTTCCATCAAGCCAAGGTTATTAAAAAACTACTCACACCGTTAACAGAACAAACTCAAAACACAAGAAAATCGAGCCTCTATTTTTAAATGCACTTTCCCATGTAACTCAACCCCAGAGCAATACACCACAAACCAAAATAGAACGTGCAAACTGGGGCCGGATTCCCAAAGTGACAAAAACTGGTTATCCACCTATATTTGGTCTTACCACTGACCAGTCAGTGGAAAATCATTCCTACTGGATCCCAGCAGGAACCAAAGTATAAGCGTTTACATGCTACAAGTAAAAAAAAGCGGTGAAATTCAAAAGCTGATTTTTTTCAGTCATCAGTATGCTTACAACTGCAATTATGTCAGTAGAGAAAAAGTTGTTTTTCTCAATGTGATTAGTCTCTGAGGAAAAGAAAGCAAAATGAAACGAACCAAAAAATTATAGTACACTGAAAATAATCGCTTACTATAGTTGCAAAACAACTGTGTGAAGTTGAATTTCATAACAATCAAGTATTTAAACTCTTCCATTAGTGAGATGACAAGTGCAAAAGAACGGTACACTTGCTGTCAACTTGTAGTAAAAAACAAAGGACAAAAACCGTCCACAAGTAGGTAGTTAGTTAGCTCTGTAAATTAGTAGTGCAATACTTTTTAGACAAATAGATCTTCTTCCCTCAGAACTATGCAGGTTTAGATCTAAATAACAGATCACAATTGGTCTTTTGTTGGCAGCCTCCACACACACAACTAATTTCTTAACACATAATGTAAATTATTATAAACAGGAACAAAGGAGCAGATAAATATTTTCCATGAGGATGATCTGGGACTTAAGGCAGAAAAAGGTAGCTCTTCTTGAGCTATATTATGAGCAGTGGTAGATTTTATCATCATTTCTGACGCCTGAGTGCTTCAGTTTGTGGCTGTCTGGGACTTAAACACTGCAGGGAGAGAACTGCTCTGCCTGCCATGCAGCTGCCATGGAACAGGAGAAGTATCTTGGAGATGTTATGCTTCTTAACATTTCAGTTCAGAGTGTTGATGTTCTGACAGTAAAATCAAATATTTCTTAGTAAAAAGTAGCATAAGGTGCTCTAATGTCGCATTTACCGTTGTTGAAACTCAAGTGGTTTTATCTGCATGGGTAGGCTGCCCACAGACAGAGAGCTGCTGAATGTTAGGGGCACCAGTGAGGCCCATGTCTCTGCTGTACTTCACTTTGAACTGTCTTTGTGATTATACTGCATCTTTCTCCTTACTTTATAGTACTTTTTGCTCCCACAATCATCAAATCCCTACACAGGATTCTACACCAAGTTCTACCGATGCTATTTGTAGTTATCTGGCTCTGTTAAATCTGAGTAAACCCAGAGATAACAGAGCCAGATGAAAACCTGCCTCTTGCCTCAGGATCATTGTGGAGCAGGCCCTATAAGACTGTCGTTTCACAGTCCTCCATTTTGTTCATCAACGAGTTAAACGTTGTTATGAATGTGACTAAACTCTTGTCATGTTCATATGATTCCAGATTACATATTTAACACTTCACTATGAAAAGCTATGAGCCACTGACACATCCTACCCCGCAAAAACATGTTCTGTTGCTAAAAATATGAACATGACAGGCGAGCATCATGCATATGAGGTATTGCCTGAATGTTAGCATGATCTAATACAGTCACCCATACAGCAAATACTGCACCACAACCATGACAGAACACACAGCAAAGAACTAGGTTAGTGTGGTGGATGCCACGGCTGTTTGTGCATGAGAAAGAGGTCTACCTGGTCTTGATCTGCCTCCTGATGGAGAATATTCTCTTGTGAACTCTCACTTTTCATTCTGATTGGGGAAAACATTTCCTCCAACTAAGGGATATTAAAGATGGTGCTCGTTAATTTTCATACACGTCATACAACAGAAAATAACATTACACCACTCAACGAGGCTTAAATTTTTAAAAAACTGAATAATTAAGTTGGCATTTTTTTACAGAGGAGAAAAGGAAATTGTTATATCTCATTTGTCCAAGAAAATCAAACAAAAGGGTTGGAAAAGCCTGAACTCTGTGAGTTAACTCAGTAGTTAGCACTATTTCTGGAGAAGGTGACCTGCTTGGCAAAGGCTCTTTGTTTAAGTGAATGAACACTGAAGTGGCATTTACAGTACCAATCTACTACTCTAAGGTTTCATCAGCGCTAAGCTGTCCATAGCGGCATCCTCATTTTCCAGGCCTGCATTGTTTTGATCTGATCGTAGCAGCCGCCTCATGTCCTATAAATAGCACAGTGCTGATGGAAAACAATCAATCAGGACAACAACAAAGCACTCACACAGATCCCTCTGTCACCTTGAAAACACACATTTTAATAACACAGAGGACACTGTAAAGCTTTCACAGACACTGAATGAGCTCATCTTAGAGGATGAACCTTCTTCCATGTCTCCGTTTTCTCAAATGCGTTCCCTGTTCCCTCCCTGAACCCACCTATTCTCCTCTCCCTGCACTGATGGGAGTATTTCCTTTCACACTGCTTGCCTGCATGCTGGCGTCATTCTATTGTTGCTATAGTAGCACTGAGCGGCCAACTGGGGGAAAACGTTGCTCTTCTGCCAGCAGTGGCTCTTCTCTAACCCTCCAAAAAGCCTTCTCACACACACACACACCTCTCTGAACATGGTGAGAGGGAAGAAGGATTATAAACCATAAATCTTCTGAAAATGTCAAGTCAGAGGACAAAACACTAAGGCCCTGCTGTGTAGCTACAGTGCAAACAGGAGTGTATGTGTCACTGTGCAGAGGTAAAACAAAAAAAAGATGCACTATGAGATCTCTATTGCACTTTAGAACTGTGTGAGGTTCCCAAAGCCAGGTGAAGAATTATCAAACACCTTGGATGTTAGTGGCAAAACAATCCAGTTCCAATAATCTGAGTGATAATTTAGATGACCAAAAGTCAACCTACCTCTACACTCTTGCAACATCCATTTGACCCAGTACTAGTGTAATAACCACATATGAATACTTATTAGATGCTCATTAATATTCATGATGGACCCTTGCTTGCAGCATGGTTTCCAACAGCAACAATGTGAAGACACTGTGTCCTTTCCACCCTCCCTTGAGGTTAAAGGCAGGCCCCCGAATGGTACGACTTCCCCTGCTGGCTTCAAGCCACCACATCACACACACAAACACACACACACAAGCTCACAAGCTGCTAAAAATTCTAGACACACTGAACAATCCTTTCTCTCAGAATAGAAATGTACTCTTTTTTTGGTGATTGCTGGCACTGGGTGTTAGCATTTAGTTTCCACAACCTCTTTTAAGTGAACTGGGGATGATGTCACCAGTCTGATCCGTGGGAAGCTCAGTAACTTTACACTTGATATGAAGAGAAGTCTTTCGTTTGAATTAATCAAGACTACAAAGTAGCACCTGTGTGCGTCATACCTTGAGGCTGGTGTTGGAGCGTGGATGGCTGAGGTTATTGAATCTCCATGGTTCAGATGGGTCCACAGGTTCCCTCCGGACATCAGGGGTCACACCATCAGTCCCAGGAAGTTGGAATATGCCCATGGAAATGGGACGCTCCTTCCTGGAGACAGAAAGAAACAAAGGGAGGGATGACTCAAAAGCAAAAAGAACAATTTTGAAAGAAAGAGTCTGGGAGATTGGCCCATTGGTCAGGTGACTCTTATGTAACTAGGATGTACGAGTGAGTGTCGACAGTCACACTGGTGGCTCTCTGAGGTTCTCCTTAGGCACAGCAGTGCTTTGAGCTAAAATGCTGATGTCAGTGAGCTACCAAGCTCACGAGGAAAATGCAGATTTTTAGCAGACATACTGTTGACCATTTTCACCACCTTTGATTTGTATGTTAGCATTATAATTACACAAAACAGCTGAGGCTAATGGCAACGTAAATAATTTTGCGGGTTGTTGGTCAACAACCAAAGCACTAATCAAAATTTGACCTGATGATGACTAGTAAAGGAAAGGCTAAGTTATCACTGAAGGGGGCGCCCGTATAGCTCACCTGGTTGAGCGGGTGACCCATGAGCTACAGTCCCCAACGCAGCGGTTGTGAGTTTGAATCCCGCTTATGACCCTTCGCTGCAGGTCTCTCCCTCACTCTTCTCCCCCCTTTCCTGTCTCTCTATACTGCTCTAAATAAAGGCAAAAGTTATCACTGAAGTTGTAAAGTTTATCCTGGATGTGCGGTTATGGCAATCTACTACGTACTACTACGGGGGGGCTCCATGCACATTTGTCCCAAATTTTGAAGCAGTCCATTTAATAGTTGCTGTGATATTTCAGTTTGGCTGATATTACCAGCAACTATTGCTGTATTGTTATAATAAGGAGAAGAATTTCTCTGGCAGCAAAAGAAGGCCTTCAGTGAAGAAAGCAGTACCACCCACAATGGGGTGCAAGAACATGTGATTTATAGTGTGCAATAAGAAGTGCAGTGTATAGGATACTATATAAACGCTGTTGGACATGTGTTCTTTAGTTGAAATGTTTTTTCTTTCTTCTCCATGACGTGAGGAGGTTCCTATAGAGACTGTGACACTGGATAAAATGGGCTACACTGTGGAATGATAAAGTTTTGTTCAATAGCTACAGTAATTCACTAAGCCTGAGGTCACTCGCACAACAAATCATACATGAATTTGCTTTTGATAAATTAAATGGGCATTAATTTGTCCATTCTCCAGTTCAGTAGAAGCAGATCAGCATAATGTAATCAGTTAGACAAAACAAAACAAACAGACTGAATGGACACTTGACAAAGAGGTGTTGTAGCAAAGACTCGCTTGGCACTGAAGTGGTAGGAGGAGAAAAAAAGCTCATAAACTCCATTACCTCCCACCTATTAGTTCAGGCAACAACACACATCCATTTGTAACAGTCTCTATGATGGACATGTATTTTGTGGTGTGCTATGAGAAGGAGGTCAGCTGACGGGCTTCACACAGAGGCTGGGACACACCAGCAGGAACAAATCTGTTTCATCATCTTTAGCCCGGATGATAAACCTCAACCAGCTCACGCTTCCATGGCAGTGATCACAAACTTTCTCCAAGCACTGAGAAACCAATAATTTCTAGGAGCACATTGTAATAAACACACTGCACCCTCCACTGCATCAGAGCAAACACACATCGGCAGCTTTTCTCACTCCAGCAACCAGGTATGAAAAAAAGCACTGTACAGGGTGAGTGGAACAATGGCTGCCATGGGGAATACAGCAGCCAGCAAGCACCGATGAAAAGCAGCAGCCCAAAAACAATGAACACACCACCATATTGAGAGGAAAAGGTCACATGCTGGCCACGGATGGTGACCAGCGCTGCCTTTTGTCTTTTGTACTGAGTAGTGAGGGAGGGCAAAAAGAAAAAAAAAAAAAATCACATTTACCAGCAGCAGTTGTACTCTGAAAAGATGTTTACTAACTTATAAGAATAATTAGAAAACAGCCATAAACTCTGGTGAAATTAAAATATCTTGGGTGATGTACCCTGACGATGTGCCACTTGTACCTCTCTCTTGACCTACTTTTAGTATGCAGTCTCATGCTGTCTGACTGTAACACACCCACATGGCAGCAACACGGCGACTGCATGGCTACAAACTGGCTGTGGCTACAGAGATTGAAGCAAGAAGAACAAATTACAATATGTCAGTTTTATACACCTACAAACTAACACAACACACATAATATAGGCTGTACCTGCTGGGTCTGGGTAAGGAGGGTAAGGAAGGCAGGGCAGGTAAACCTCCGGTAGAGACAGAGTAGTGAACCAGCAGCAGCACTGACAGAGAGACCAGTACAGCAGAGTTGATGACCACTGCTCCACCTACAAAGCCAAAAACAAACAGCAGCATACACCCGGGGCTCATGGCCCCCCCAGATCATGGCCCAGTGCCTCACAGGGGAGCAGGAGGTTGGCGGCACAGTCGATGAAAGCAGGGTGGTAGGGGTCAACGAAGAACCAAATTCACTCTGCTGTTTTGGTTGGACTACTGTAGGTACATCTACAGCAGAGGTCACAGATGTGGTATCCTTCTTGCTGAGAGTCAACAGTGAGTGTGGAGCTGTGAGCTCTGCACACTGCAGTTCAATGCTGAGGCAGACGGAGTGGGAGCAGGTCAAAGGCAGAATACCATGTCAGCAGCAGTCACAACAACAGTAATCCCGGTGGCTTCAGTAGCAGTGATTGATTAAAGCAGAGCAGCGGCAGCGGTGCACACAGCAGAGCAGTAGATCATCCACAGAGAGCAGCGAGAGGCTGGTGGCGCGGCGGCAGCAGCAGCAGCAGCAGCTCTGCTCCACTGTACTCGTCTGGCAGGTGTTTTTCTTCCTCCTCACTCTTCCTATGCTCTGCCGAGATGCGACACGGCTGCCGCTGTGCAGTCTAGAACGCTCTGACACTCTCCCTCTCTCACTGTGATAGCACCCAGCACCCCTCCCTCTCTGCCTCTCTCTCTCCATCTCCCTCTCTCTTTTGGATGCTGAGGCAGCTCGTTCCATATGCCTCTCCTCAGACTGCAGCTTATTGGCTGGAAAATGGGGAGACTGATTAAAATGTGTGTGAGAGCGTGTGTGTGTGTGTGAGGGAGGGAGGTTGGCAGACTGTCGGCATTAACTCAAGGCATGGTGAGAGGCCAAACGAGAACAGGGGGCTGCTGGAATGCACAGACATGGTCCAGTGTACATTAAAACACGAAACAACTAACTTCTAAACACTGTTTATACCTCTTGGACTTCATGTGCTACTGTTTCACAGCACAAAATCAAAAAGGATGCATAGAGTATGTTTTGACACAAAGTGAAAACAACTTTCTACAAACTAAAGTACAGGCACATATGATATGAAAAAGTATACACCTGTTTCCTCTCTGGTGTTGCCATATCACAGCCAAGTTGCATACGAAGCTGAGATCTGGAAGCTCTAAGAGCTGTTGGATAAGTGGTTGTTGCAATCATGACATTTTAATTGACTATTAATTGTTATACAATCAACTGTGATTATTAAAATGTATTATTAATTTCTAGTTTTAGATTTGAGGTATTAGGGCCACTGAACGCCACCTTGTTGCTACAAATCTGAAAAATTGCCTATTTTTTTATTTGGCTTAAAACAAAAAAAGTGCCCACGGTGTTGCGATGGTCTTTGGTTTTGCAGCTTAATCTATGACGGTAATGTCAATAGATGCTCATCAAAATGCAGTAACTCAAATACTAGAAGTTAAACACCTCAAGACAAACAGTTGGTGCCATTAAAGCAGAAGAAGGGGGCACAAAAAGTTGTAAAGAAATGACATGTAAACAGTAAGTGAATAGTTCTTGTTGTCAATTTATCCAGCTGTTTTTATAGAGGTGACACAAGTGAAGGAGGTCATGGATAAGCATGTGGGCACTGAACAAATTACAGGATCCATGGCTAACATGGAGAACACTGTGAAGGGCCAGTGGGATGAGTCGGCATAATCGATTATGTTGATGCTGAAAATGTGTCAACCTGAATATTCTTAATAGATGCATATTGATTTTTAACTTAAGCTCATTACAACAAATGTTTCTTTTCAGTATGAGTTGTTGCGTTGTGACGTAAATCATTTTTGGCTCCAGTCATTGGCCAGCTGCAGTCAACGTTACAGTTTTAGACAATGTTGGCTACAGCAAAGTCCAGCTGTGTTAAATGTCAGTTTCCAAAGACCTAAGGCTTTAGGAGTATGACAGTACTTCAAATGATCACAATGTAAAAAGGTGGCTTGTAAACTATGCTGCATTTAGATGGCAGACCACAGCAGCACAGAGCAATACATGAGAAAACATACAAGAAGCACTTCACATCCTTTAGTTTTTCTCTTTCTCCCTGTGCTCACATATACTGTTGTACAACACAGTGAAATTCCCAATAAAGCTGCTCTTGTTTACATATTTTTCTGTTTCTAAATGTAATTTTGCTTTTTCCATCCATCCATCCATCCATCATTATCTATACACCGCTTAATCCTCACTAGGGCCGCGGGGGGCTGGAGCCTATCCCAGCTGACTCAGGGTGAAGGCAGGGGACACCCTGGACAGGTCACCAGTCTATCACAGGGCTACACTTAGAGACAGACAACCAAGCACACTCACATTCACACCTACGGACAATTTAGAATCACCAATTAACCTCAACATGTTTTTGGACTGTGTGGGAGGAAGCTGGAGAACCTGGAGAACCTGGAGAGAACCCACGCTGCACAGGGAGAACATGCAAACTCCATGCAGAAAGATCCCGGGTGTCCTCAATGGGACAAAAACCGGCAACCTTCTAGCTGCGAGGTAACGGTGCTAACCACCGAGCCACCTTGCAGCCCCGATTTTGCTTTTTTTTTTGGAGGTAATTATTTAATTTATAAAATATTTAATAGATTAATTGATACATAATAATCTGCAGTTTTACCACCATACATACAACAACTGTTGCACTGGTGATTTACCAGGATGGGAAAAAAGGAAAATGCATTGAGAAAAAAAAAAAAACACATCACTTGACTTGTACACCTAAGAGCCTTTTGATAATCCCACTTTGCTTGGGATACACCAAACACTGCACCTCAGCAGAAACAAAGGCCCTCTGACCTCCAGACTCCCCACAGCACAGTGCTGACTCATCATCTGCCCTGCAAGAGAGCAACAGGCCATCACCCCATCAAAGCAGATTACTCCGACAACAGCCAAACTACCAACCCCACTGGCAACATCCATAGCATCCTCAGATGTGTCCCACAGCTTTCCACTTTCAACCCTTTCAGCAGACTTCTAATGACAGTGTGTCTCCTCCTATTTTTGCTTAATACCACTTCAAGTCAAAACAGTCTCAACATTCATCTTTGTCTACAAACACCCAAGATCTCCATAACACTCATCTAAATTCATCAGTTTTATGCATTTAGCTCATCCTGCTTCCAAGTTGGTCTCCTTTTCCTGCATTTATTCTTTCAGGTTCTCTGACCTACTTGTGCTTCTTCCCTGTAGGGAGGATATACTGTATGTATGTGGGAGTAGAGCTTGCAGTGGTTAGAGCTGCTCCACTACAGAGCGGGAGACGTGGAGAATCAATCACATGGACATATACATAAAACACTGTAAGTGTTTATCTTCTTGAGCCTTGTAATTCACATTATACACCTATAAATTCACCGAATAAAAGGGTGAGAGTAATAGCAGTAGATACTTGCACTTTAATTCAGATAGCATGCGGGAGTCGGTTTGAATCTTTTTGATATGCTCATCCTCCTCTTACGCATCTGTCGCTTTAAATAAATGTGTAGAGAGTTCTTTCCTCTTGAATCACTAATGCAATTTCAGACACGCCAGATGTGTATTTTTATCTAGAATGCATTCGTTCAGGGTAGCAAAGAAAACACTGACTATTAAATTAGGACATAAAATATCAGTATCAGTAATTTTCTTCCTCTTCACACTACATTTCCTATAAAGTGGATTTCCATATTCCGCCCTGTTTTAACATTTCACTTACCGTTTAAATGTATCCCTGCAGGTTCCTATACAGATATAATTATCAAGACTTTGGAGCTGTATATATTTTGGGGAATGTAGTTTGGCCCCGGGGGACTTTACAGTAATTAACCCTTTCAATGTCATTTTGGGGTACATTAATGATTGTTACTGTTTTACTTTTCTAACTTTTCTAACTCTCTGTATGCTATTAGAAACTGTCACACAGTAGAATGAGTTTGGGATTCATGCCCTCCTATAGCACACAGGGAAAGTAACTGGTAGTAGACTTACTCACATCTTTTTGTAAGAAGCCATTTGTCTGATTGCAAATAAATGTAAACTGTTTACTGCATAGTCAGACACTGTATTTTAGTTCGTTTGAATTTTTTTAGAAACTGCACCAGCCTTAACGGTGTTCAGTGTCTCTGGAAAAAAAAAGCGCTTTCTAACGAGAACAAATATTAATGTCGATGATCTCATTTGATTGTCAGTCATAGAAGAGGCTGGAAACTGAGATCAGTTCAGGTGAGCACAGTTGAATTGAGAATAAATACATAGAGTGTGAAGTGAGAAGAACTGGTGTGGCTGTCTAACCGTGTTCTGGCTGGTGTGCCTGTGTCTGACGGCTCTGTTGTCGTCATGGCGTGTTGGTGCTTCGTCCGCTCCAGGTGCTCCATGTAGCTGTGGATCATCTGTAACGTGAGAGTCAAAGAATTAAAATGGTCTTGTTGAAATAAGTATGTATTTTGCAAACCAGATGACAAAAACGTGTCACAATTATGCTCTGACGAAAGGAAGTCAAGTAGAACCAAATACATTTGTAAATGGTCCTAAGAACTCCGACTATCTTAAACAGGCGCTCACATGTGAAGCGTGCTGTGTCCGGGTACAGCTGTGACAGTCAGGCTCACAAAAAACGATGTAAATGTACCAACGGCGTGTAGGTGACAGCTTTCATTAGGCTTTCAGCGCCTCTATTCAGCATTATTCAGATCAGGAGTTGGCTGCTGAAGCCTGAGAGGTTTGTTTGGACACTGAGGCATCTGTTAGTGATACATAATGGATAACAGGCAGAGAGAGACCAAAGGCTCAGCAGAAACATAATTCATGTTCAGATCCTTTATGTTTTAATCATCTTCACCTGGCTAGCTTCTCTACTCTATTTCATCCAAGTCAGTTTTGTATTTCTATCACAGAGGTGAGCTCTATACTTCTGATTCTTCTTTTCCTACATCTTTCATTATTACTTGGTTTTGTTTAATCCAAGACACAAACTGCTATTTTTGTGAAGGTCCATAGGGGAAAAAAGTATGCTTTTGAATGTTTTTCAAATTGATTAGGGTTTACTGTTTCTTGTTTATTTAATGTGTTTGGAAAGCTGATGGTTCATACACATTAATAGGTGCTTCGAGTCGATCCTAAGGATTGATGTTGGGGTCAAAATGGGCATATTTTAATAGATTCATTTTGGCTACAACATCAAAACCTGATTCACTCTGCTGTGATTTGTCCATTTCAGTATACTGCTCTCTTCTACTACTGCTGGGCTCTATAATATGAGCATTTGTCATTTACATCACACCAATAAGCTTATCAACATCAGTGTTAGCACAAAGTAGCAGGTGGCTAAATACAGAAGGCTTTACTTTATCTTTCCATGTGTCACATACATGTTTAATCAACTTTAGGTATCAGTTTGAATTTGGTTTCAACAGATAATGAGCATCAAATGACTTCGATCGGGATCAGGGCCAAAAAAATTGAATGGGACAACCACATATGTGTTGCTTTATCTGAATCATGCCCACAGGGTATAGAAGTTTGAAAAAAGGAAAAATGTATGGATGCCCTTTAACTGCTTATGCTAGCACGCTTTTCAGTCATTATCAATTTATAGATTATGCAACATCTAAAAAAATACATCAACTCTGATTGTTGTGAAAGCTTCAAAATGTCACTGTAGATAAGCATCCCGATAAACATAAGGCACTAAACATGTCCTCACATACGTAACCAAACACGTAGTTGTTTCTTCCAGACCAGCCTACCTCAGTGTGTCTCTGATGAAGAGCATTGTACTCCTTCTTAAGTTCTGCTTCTCTCTCCTCCAATCTGCTAACTAGGTGAGAGAGAAAAAGAAAACAATTACATGATGAAAAAGACAAAAGTTTAAGACTTACCAATATAGAACTTGAATATATGAAATACATAATATTATTTCATGAACTGGACATTGATTAAACCGTTATTTGCCCAGTGGGAGATCCAGTACTCTTACATTTCACAACATTTTGTGTGGTGATACTGTTGCAATAATATCTCAGAGCCAGAAGAGGGCCACCATGCATCAAGAAATCCTCCTGAATTACACCAAAGGTACAAGGTGGACAGATAATTTCACAAATCTGACTGACAAGGTTATCTATTCAATCAAAAACTTTGAACCATTTTTATATTTCAGTCAAAAATCACTGTTCAACTTCAACAGACTGTTCAAACTGAACAAATTGTTCCTGAAACAGCAATATTCATGTGATTAAAAAGCACAAAAAACTTTTTTATGTATAACACTGCAAGGATTTTTTAAGAAAGAACAGGGTTTTTAAATTCAAACATTGTTCTTATTGTTGTTAAATCCAGCCAGTAGAGCACAACTTACTGATCCCAGTGTTTGTGGCTCTCAGGTGGCTCTGCTTATTTGTAGGCAAAACAGCAAAGACAGTTGTTGAGCGTGCTGTTCAGACGCCAGCCATGCAAGTGCAATCTCTCAAAGGTGGACATTGAAATGTTCCTTAAAGTCTGCTACACTGAGTCTCTGCTGATACCGCTAATTCACAGCATCATCCATCCTTAACGCTTCACAGCACAGGTTTTAAATCCAAAGCAGCGCATGTTTAACCAGGCTTAAGGTGAGAGTTAGAAGACACTAGAAGGATCACTGAAGAGAAACGGCTCAGACAGCAGCTGTAAGGTAATGTGATGAAAACAGTGATTTATTGTGGTTTTCAGAGGGCTTATAGAGGAAGTAGGGTTGAAAGAATGGAGCAGAAATAACTCAGGACTGATAAAGAGGTGTGCTCAGAAACACGAAGTGATCCTAAAAGAAAGTCCCACATGCAAAGCCTGAGTATCTGATCAATGTTCTTACCAGGGACAAAATGAGAACAAAACTGATAAAGTAATTACTAGAGCTGAGTACTGGGTCTGGATGCTGTGTTAAAATTGGGGTTGCATTTTCACAGCAACTTGACGTAAACAAGTGATTGTTTAGTGATGAATCAGTGGGGTCACACCCTAACACCAAACTTTGTGTCAGAATTTGTACACAGTTTATTAACAACAACAGGTACTGCAAAAATAAAACGTACATCTCCTGATTTGCACTGCCAATAAAGCCAAAATGGCATTAGGAATCAAAAGAGACAGCAATTAATTGTGTTTGCAGTCATCAAAGTGAGGTGGTGTTTATTGAGTTAGACTGTACAGCGTGCCTGTTTTCCAGCGATGTGATCACACACAGCGTAGTGATCTAAGTCACACTGCTGCCAATTCTGCCCGCAAACATAATTACAGACAAAGGAGACTCGCAAAATCACCCAAATAGAAAAAAAAAGGGAAGTGTCGTATTGAGGGAAACAAATAGAAATTTTCTGAGAACTCTTAAACTTCCCCTCAGCGTGAAAGAGGCGTGTGTTACCTTACTGTGGGGGAACAAACAAGCAGTCACACATACTGTCAACTGTGCAGTCATGCACACATCATGAGGGTTTTCTTTTCATGCCTTGGGAGCACTACCACACTCTAAGAATCAAACTGCTCTTCACATTTAAAGAAGTTTTTCCTACTTAAGAGAAAGAGTTACTTTTTACTTGTTCTGGCATGAAGCTTTCTTATTATCTAGAAAAACAGATTTATGCTCCTAAAAAAGCTATTGTTTTCTAAATAAAACATTTTAGCTGGTCAGGTTTGACCACTGTAAAACCCTCTAGTTTCTCCCTAAACTGCTTTGAGTGTGTAACACTTCTGGTCCGCTCTATTACAGCTCATCTAGCAGACATGGCAGTATGTTACCAATGGCCTTTATTCAGTAGGGACACAGGACTCTATCTGCCTTCAGGCACATCCGGCAAACTGTCACAAGACCTGCAAACTGTCGATGTCGCTCACAAGCTAACTGGGTGGTGTTAGCCTTTCCAACAATAGAGGCATGACTATAAAACCAGTGAAAGTGACAGATGCAGAATAGAGATGCATATATTGAATTTTTACTTATATCCAACATGCAACGATTATCAACTCATTCCAGCTGATTGCTGACGCTGATACATGCACATACTTTCTCCATCTAGTTTGAAAGATACGGGGGCAAATGATGTGCATATAGACTAACGAGCTGCATATACAGATGCGCTGCATAAATGAAAACATATGCAAAAAGAAAACACTGCATATCCAGTCACACAACAGAAGTGGTCCAGGCTCCAGAGCAAGACAAGTAACGTTAATTGAGGAAAAAGCTGTATGATAGTGATGTTCGATACCACCGATGTCCTTTCCGATCCGATATTGAGTAAAATGCAGGCTGGTATCGGCGATACCGATCCGACACCGATACTTTGTGGAAATGCATCTAATGTGTCTGATAAATCTAAAAAAAGTAGTGTATTTCAAATGACAGGGAGAACACAGGGAGATGGTAGCAAAACACCACTTCAGCACCCATATAATCACAGCGACTGAAAAGCTACAGACTTAAAAACTGCCCCTAGAGGTCTGTGGCACTTCTGTTGTGTGACTGGATATGCAGCGTTTTCATTTTGCATTTGTTTTCGTTTATGCAGTGCGTCTGCATATGCAGTGTTTTTCTTTTGCACCGTATTTCCGTGTTTGCAGCGTCTTCTTTTTGTAGCTCGTTTGTGTATATGCATGTCATTTGCCCCCGTCGGTCGGCCACCGTAGAAAGAACATTAGGTCTCAGCTGTACTAAAACATATTATAACTACCATGATGGCCAAGTGGCAGAAGCAGACACACACACACAAAAAAACATGACTTTCAAATGTACACATTCACTACGTAAAATAAGAAAACTACATTAACTTGCGTGAAAATAAATATGGCATACTTTGCATGTAACATTTGCAAACAAAACAATAAACTGTTATGCTGACAGGCGTAATCTGCCCGTCAATGTTCACTTTGGGCCAATGCTAGTATTTTAATTTAAAGTCTTTATCAGAATATCTTCATACAGCTTAAATGTAGAATGTAATGGACTTACTCTGGTCTGCATAGTTTTTTGTTTTCAGCTCTAGATGTCGCGTATGAGACTCCAACGTCACCAGTCGACACTGGAGGTCCTTCTTCTCGCCTTCCTGAGAGTCTTCGAAGACGATGTACCTCTGCAGATAAAGACAGTGAAGAGAGACATTTATTATCACAGCGCTGACACTGACAGCAGTACTGTAAATTTGTGAACTTCCAGTGATTTGTTGATGATTTGTTTATGACGGCAACAGGGGGCAGAAATGCCACACATGCATGTGAACGGTCAGTTCCTTTTAGCCAGTCTGGCTTCAGCTCAGCTCTGACTGAGCTCACAATCATCGCCCTCTATGACATGAGTCGACAACAAAGTTGGGAGTGAAATGGAGACGATGCGTGGACTAAATCTTATATTACCAGTGGAAAACAGAGCATTATGTGCTCATTATAAAAGACATCTAACCTCCATGCACAACAGGTGCACAGCGCCAGCTTATTAAAAAAAGAACGTCTACAGTCACAGCCTTTGTGTGTGATCAGACACTCACACAGCTTCCTGGGTAAATTAGCAACAGTTGATATCAGTGTCAAAGATGTGTTTCCAATTTTCACAGCAGCAGTTGGCACTAACCTCAATCCTTCTCTCAGGGGATCTATGCACAATAAATTATTATGATACGAATAATGTCTCGAATCTGTTGGTACACTGATTCCAGCAGGGTAACTGGATATCAGTCAGGAACAGAAAGGAACCTTGTGGCTTCAACCTATTCCTCAAAGTGTTTTCAACCACCAAACCCACCATCCACCATCAAATCTAATCCATTTAATTCTGATACAACCGATGTTCCCTGATGGCAATTTACACTATGTTTGTGAGCAGATTAGATTAGGAGAATGAGTTCTGGCATGAAAGTTCATATTTAAAGGAACAATAACAAGATGAAGTGAAGAAAAACTGAAACAAAACAAAAAATGATATAATATGAACTACAGGCTAAATAATTGCAGGAACACAAGCAGAACACAGCATGAGGATGTAAAGTGTGTGAATTTAGAGTGAGCTTCAGTAAAAACTACTGACTATAAACAGAAAAACTATAAAACTCTTTCAAACAGAAAATGAGGCATAGCAAGACGAAACAACAAATATACACCATAAGCCAGAATATGGCAGAAGCAATATATTTTTCAGATGACATTTCATCATGAAGACAGTATGATAATTTGACCTGCAGATGTTAATTAATTAAAGAGCTAAATGCTAGAAAGCTGATGTTTAGTAGGTATAACGTTCATCATCTTTAGATTTGTCTGTTGGAATGCTAACATTTGGTAATTGCCACTTGCCCTACAAAGCAAAGTGGTGGCTAAGAGCGAACATTTTACAGGCGTTTGGTCATATACCAAAGAAAAACAGAGAGTCTAGCCAAATTATGACACTTGAGGAAAAGACAGAAGAGCACTAAAGGGATTACAATTTATACTTAATACATAACCAAAATGTTACAGACGCTTGGGACATTTCCCTTAAAAACACAGGTGTGAACTTCACAGTGGCTCTTGCCAAAGACAGGGATCACCAAAGTCACGTGACCTCATCCTCTGGGTGGGGAATAGTTGGGTGAATAGACTAGAGATATTCATTTTAGACCAAAGTGGTGAACCAGCTGATTAACTGACTTTGTCGTCCCCCGAGGCCCCCTGCTAGTGTAGCTAAAAACTTCAGCTATGGTCCAGTGTTTCTAATTCTTACATCATCATTTCAGTCATTTTATATGAGACTGTGCTACAGTATGTCACAACACAATGTTATTGTCACGACAGCAAATTCGCTTCATGCTAACAATCAATCAGCTGGCAATTTATGCAACTAGTTCGTGGTGTTTTGCAGGTCAGCAGACAACCCTGACTGGACAAAGATTTACAATATCTGTCAACCCTGGGTACATAACCAAAAATAGTGTTTTATTTTTTTGTTAAATTTACATCTGTATATGTCACTGTGTGAAACTTATAAAGGTACATTTCATTTAAGAGGCACAGAGACACTGGGATTCTGAAAACTGAGTCAGCAGACCCTGTGACAGAATGGATATCACAAGTGGAAACAAGGAATTTCACAATAGCATTGACAATAACACTGTATCAGTCATATCACAATCGATACACATGATATACACATGATAATTATACACATAATAATTGTCCAGTGTATCAAGTTGATCCTTCTTTACAAAAGCCCTTGTCATTCATAAAGCTTTGTTGCTGGCTAAAAGTCTTTTCCTGATTCTTCCAGTCTTCTTCCAAGTCTTTTAAGGTTTTCTTAATATGAATTTTTTTTTAAAAAATGTTAGTAGATTTATCAATAATGAAACCATACTTTAGTTGTTTTTCTGTTCTGATATATGGTGAAGTTAAAAAAAAAAAATGCAAGATTTACATTTACATACTTTTTAACACCATCGTCTTTCAGTCCAAAGTCAAACTGTTTTGATGTGCATGTGAGTGGCTACAACTTTTATTTCTAATAATTCTCATCTGAGCAATATGTGTTACAAGAATCTCCTTCTGTATTGTTAAAGTTTCACTGTATCTTATCTTATAAAGAATTCAACTGGTTATTGTTGTCCTCTTGTTTGGTGGATGTGTACTGATGCTTCAGCTGATGGGCTGTGTGGGGTGTCTGATGCTATGTCTGTAAACAGTCTCATGATGCAGCTGCTCTCTGTGGACAACAGGACCTCCGGTGTGTCCTTGAGCTGAGGGTGGATGTTATCTGCAGAAGATGAGGGTCACCTGAGCACCCTGTTACAAGCAGTCTCTTCTTTATAAATGCGTCACACTGAGGCTGGAGGTGTCGAACAAAAGGTGGTCCTTCACGATGCCTTTGTGGACTTTTTTCTTTGATCATCAGATATGGTTTTCTCTGCCCGTAGGCTCCAGCTGTTTCAGTTTGGTGGAAAGTTTTCTTTTAATAAACACATACAATATAAATAAACTAGGTTTTGTGTTGGAGTTTGTGACATTCTTAACTTTGACATCAAGACTTTGGTTTCAAAGATCGGTTATTTGTCTCTTTGCTTGCTAAATTGGTATCGGTACTGGCTGGTCAGTTGGCCGATCTCTTATTTGGAGCTTGTAGTTGAGAGACTTATGAGGGCTCAGTGGGGTGCTGGGAGCCTGGAGAGCATCTTAAGAACTTAAGCATTGGTAGTAATGCAGCATTTTCAATGCAAATCTACTAAGAGCATTAACATAGCACTGGGCTAGACTACAGATTGGAGGGTTCCCAGGCAGGAGGTGACACCCTAATCTGCAAATGCACGTAGCAGTAGCACAGAGACAAGGTGAATCAGCTCAATTCTCCTTCAATTGGCTCTATAACTTTCAACTATTAGCTGTAGAAAACACTCCATCACATCTTAACATACTAACCTACCCTATGAATATCACATGCTGACACCCCAAATTAATTAGAACAAGTCCCAGCATCCTTCCCTCTCTCACCCTGCTGCTCCTCATATGACCCAGGAAGGAGGCTTGTGCATATGACAGCGCTTCAGAGAATAAGTGTTCCAGCATTTTAACATGCACTCTTCCCCCTACACTGCATGTATAATGCTCTCTTTGTCCCTGAGAGCCAACACACTCCCATACACACAAACACATGTGGTTCCAGAACAAGTGTGTGCACAAACCCACACAGACAGGGCTCCACTGTATTGGCACTCAATTGACAGAGACTGAAATCAGCTCCTTTTAGTGTGCTTGGCTCTGGATTGCAACTGGGACATTTAGGAGAGCTGGGGCGTGTGAGGCCTTGACCACCCGGCGAAATAAACTGACCACAGACCCGCTGCAGAGAGTCTAACAGGATAAGAGCATTACAAATGTCATGATTTTAATGTTAGAAAGATTACATCATGTTGACAAGAACACACCACATGATCCTACTACTAATAAAAGCCTACTGTAATCACGTGTTTTGCAGAATGATTAGCTAGAAGCTCTGCATATTATATGCAGCTCTTTCCAAAAGTCAAACTAAAAAGAAAAAATACTGAAGCCTCTGAAGCCATGCTAGAATTCCTTCTAGAGCTACAATTATAAGTAGATCAATTGATTAGTCAATCAAAAGAAAATTAACCAATGGGCATTTGGATACTCTGTTAATTTTTACATAATATTTTAAGCAAGAAAACCATAAATGTTGTTGTTCTCAGTTCTAAAATGTGACAATGACATTACAAAAAATTATTATTGATCATAAAACTAATCGTTGGTTGCAGTGTAAGTCTCCATGAGGCTGGACTTAAGGTCCAGCTCATCTTTTCTACATGTGTATGTCAGCAAAAATAAAAAATAATAAATCTGCATTTGGCTGAATGATAATGGGTAGCAATAGTGGTTTAATTTGCAATGCATTTTTTTTTAAAGTCAAGCTTCACTTCAATATTCACTGTGTAACAGATTTAAAAGATGTGATGGAGCATTTTCCACAAGATATCATCAATACTGCATCACAGCGAGAAGGTCCTATGTTCAAATCTTAGCCCGGGATCTTTCCGCATGGAGTTTGCATGTTATCCCCGTGCAGTGTGGGTTCTCTCCAGGTTCTCCAGTTTCCTCCAACAGTTCAAAAACATATTGAGGTTAATTGGTGATTCTAAATTGTCTGTAGGTGTGAATGTGAGTGTGCTTGGTTGTCTGTCTCTCTGTGTAGCCCTGTGATAGACTGGTGCCTTTGGTGTCCCCTGCCTTCGCCCTGAGTCAGCTGGCATAGGTGCAGCACTAGGATGATCAGTCATAAGCGTTTGTGTTCTGGACGCCATAGATATCTGCACCAAATTTTCCAGTGATACCTTATAGGTGCAATAGATGAAAAGCTAGGGAATAATCTAAGCCTGTAAGAATTCATTCACTGGAGACTGGGTGTGTTTCATTGTGATGTGTCTTCATATCTCTTTATAGCATCTTAGCTCCTCCCAGTGAGGATGAGAGAAGGATATGCTTGGAAGAAAAGCGAGGATACACCTGTGTTCTCTTGCTCTAAACTGCTGGATTTATAAGATTGGAAGATTCTTGGTGATGGCAGAGGGGGAATGATATCCAGGTCACAGCAAGTCACACAAGT